AGCAGGGAAAGGGCCATGGCCCGCCCCTTTCGAGGAGGCGTGAGAGTGTACCCGTTCAGCACATTTCCCCTTTACTGTCTGTGAGAACGTGGACGTGCTTTGTCCTCTCCAAACCCCACTGTACCCCTCTGTAAACCGAAGAGAGCAACAGTGAGGACAAGAAGAGCTCACTGTGTGTGAGTGTGAGAAGAGTCCCCCGCTGCCCCTCTCCCTCCTCCCCTGCCCTCTGCCACGCCAGGCACACAGCAGGAACCTTTCTCACATTTTCTATCATCAGTTCCCGCTTCCCTCGCTCCCCACCTGATACTGGTGCTCCACAGCCTGACTGGTCTTCTCTGAAGCTGTGAAGTTGAGGTATTTGGTAGAGGTCTCACCACTAAAGGGAGGAGGACGAGACAGGAGACAGAAGAGGGGCACCGTGGGAGGGGCTCTCAGGCTGTGTGCGGAGCGCACAGGCTCATGGGTAATGCAGCCCTGAGGGGAGGGGTGTGCAGGGGTGAGGCAGGTGGTACACAGAGCGTGCCAGCTTGAGCCGCTCACACCCACACCACACACACGTGCACACAGGTCCACGTACACACAAGCACAGGCACATTCTCATAAACAGGGATACAGAAGTGCAGCAGCTCTATGCCCAGCTCAGTCCTGCGGCCAGCACCTGGAGACTATCAAGTAGACGGCGTATTTCACAGGCAGCTCCAGCTGGAATTCGGTTTTGTTCGTCCTGGGTATGTTGTTCTCACTGAAAGGAAAGAGAGATCTTAGCCAGTGCTCAGAAACTGGAAACCAGCTTTTTCTTCTTCTCCCTCTCCATCACTCACTACTTCCAGTTAGTCACCAAGCCCTGTTCTCTAGAGAACAGTGTGATCACTGTTCTCTAACTCCTCGCCCCTACACGGCCCAGATCCAGTTCTGCTAACTGGGACAGCTACAGCAACCTTCCACTTGGTCCTGTGACTTCAGAACTGCTCCATCCCCGTTCCCAGTCATGATGGTTTAGATCTGGATGCCCCACAAAGCCTTAAGTTTGGAGGCGCAGCTGGTGGAAGGTGGATCATGGGGTGCTGCGCTCATTGCTGGACTGATCCATGAAGTGTTCAGAGCTAGCTGCACTGTTGGGAGGCGGGGCCCGGTCGGAGGTCACGGCACGGCCTGGAGGGGTGTGTCTCCCTCCTGGGTTCCTCTCCCGTCTGCTTCCTGACTGGCGTGATGTGAGCCGCTTTCCCCCAGGGCAGGCCCTTCCACCACACTGTTTCTGCATCTGGGTCTTCCAACCACAGACAGAAACCGCGAGCCAAAATGAACAAGTATTGTGTCCCAGAAACAAGAAAGTCACCAAGACACCACCCGTCCTGGAGAGTGGCCTTTCTAACATGCGAATATAATCCTGTCGCTCCTACAGGTTAATCTGCAAATTCCTTAGCACTGCTCATCGGTCACCTTGTATCTGACCACCTACACAGATCCTGCACCATGTGCTTGGCTGCTCTGAAACACACCCTGACCTCTCCAGGTTCCACGCTTTACCTGGTATGGCCCTCCTCCTTTCCGTCTTCACACATTTTCTTCAGAACTATTTCCTGAGAACCAAGCCCCCAAGAACACTGGACATCCCTCCCCATATACCACTCGTTTCTTTGTTTTTTAAGGCAAGGTCTCACTATGTAGTCCAGCCTGGCCTTGAACTCACTATGTAGCCCAGGCTGGTGTAGAACTCACAGGGATCCTCCTGCCTCAGCCTCCCGAGTGCTGGGATTACAGATGTGCACCACCACGCCTGGCCGAATCACTCATTTCATACTGTACTATAATCACCAGTTTTCTTATCTGCCTGTGCCACTAAATTATACTCTCTGTGAAGACAAAAATCACTTCTGCCTTAACCACCAATGTCCCACTCTCACTTGATACATCATTCCCTGGCACCTGGTGTGTGTTCATCTCTGCTCACTGCATAAAGGAATGAAGGATCTGAACGGAAAATGAATAGTGAGAAAAGGTCACCCTGGAAAAGGGACCTCAAAGGTGAGGAATTAGTGTACCTGGTCACATTAGCCTTGAGAAGTAGTTTGTTTCCAAGGGAAGCATCAAACTCCACATCAAATGTGACATTAAAGGTAACCTTGAATTGGAAGAAAGAGACGTGGTGATAAGAACAGGAGAGAAAAAACACAGCACAAGCATCCATCAACTCATGAACGTGTAAATAAAATCCCATCCATCCATATCACAGAATGTTAGTCAGCAAAAAAGGAAATGAAGTAATCAGTGAATGATCCTTGAAAATATGTTAATTAGAAGAAGCTAGTCACAAAAGACCTCATACTATATGCTCTCATTTATACAAAATGTCCAGAATATGAAAACCTATGGAGGCAAAGTAAATCAGTGGTGGCCAGAGATTGAGGAGAGCAAGACCTCTACAGTTTATCATTCTGAGTACACTGAAAGCCACTGAATTGTGCGTTTTAAACGGATGGGTCTACGGTATCTCTGAGTGATATCCCAATAAAGCTATTTTGTAAGAACAAAAGAAGCCTCTATTGTTAAGAAAAGAACAAGAAGGAAAGGGCAAAAGAGGAAGAAAGAGAAGAATTCTACACGACAAAAGAGAAAAGGAGGGGGAAAGCCAGTGGCTCTGACCTCAGAGTTGTCTGGAAAGATGGGATGGTTTATGCTGCAGCTGGTGCTCTTCAAAGCCCCAGATCCTTCGGGGGAGGAGCTGGACGAACAGGACACCTGCCAGGATCGCTGCGAGCGCCAGTTCTGGGAGGAAACTGCAATGTTACCAAGCCCGGCCGTGGAGAAAAGGGAAGAAAGGGGCAGACAAGCCTGAGAAGGATTTGGCTACCTGGACCACTGACACCTTCCGATAGGACAAGCCCGCCGGGTGGTAGAGGGTGACCTGTGTCCCGTAGGAATCCTCACCCTCGTTTCTCACAGTCAGCGTCACATTGAGCTCCCGGGGGTCGCCCACCACCAAGGTACGCAGGCTGCGGGGGCAACAAAACAGAACAGTGAGACACCAAGAGCTGCCCCAGGGCGAGTCTGTCCTGGTGGAAAGGGGATGCAGGCCCTTGGAGAGGCAGTAGATGGATGGACAGCCCCGAAGGACCTTGCAGCACACAAATGCCTCTGAAGGAACTACTCTGTGTTGGCTGCCTTGGGGCCAGGAGAAGACCCAAGCACCACATCTTGGAGCAGGTTTGAAGACAGTGATGAGGAAAAGAAACTCACTTCCTAAAACTGAAGGTGACGCTGAGATCATCCTGGCAAATGTTGTCATTGCCACAATTCTTTTCAAAGGGAAACTGAAAATTAAGAATATGATAACAAAAAGGAGACAGATGAAATGAAACAGTGAAATAAAACAAGCTTCAACAATCAGCCTCTTGCCTTTTCCATGCCCCGGAAACCCCAGGACTCACCGAGGCTGTGAAAAATTTCTGGGAATCTTCGGCCAGAACCGGCCGAAGGTTCCCAAACGAAGACACAGGTGTCCCCACCAGAGTGTAGTTGAGGCGCAGAACAATGGGGCTCACTGAGTCGTCCACACATTTCTGAGAGAGAGTGGGTGTTAGGGGATCTGTCCTTTCCCTGCCTTCCAAGCCCACCTCATTCTTGACCCAGGGATCTGGCCACTCGCCTGCTCACCGGTAACAGCAGTGTCAGAGTCTCACATGTGGTTGTCAGCCCCAAGGCCTGCTTCCGCCTGTGTGTGCTGTTCTTGGTCTCATCAAAGATGGCACGGGAACTCGGGCGGCCAGAGTCCAAAGCCAGGACGTAAGAGATAACACTCTGCACATCTCCTGAAGGAACAGGGTAGCGTGATGAGGAGCCTGGGCTGTGTAGAGAGACACAAGGACTGGGAGGCCTAGGTCCTCTGCATCCCAATTGTGTGATTCGGGACATCTTACCTGAACTCTTGGCATCTCAATTCCCTATTTTCAAGGTGAAGATAATTATTACGCCTTTTCAAAAACGTACAAGACATTGGGATAGAGGAATGAGGGAGGGGAAAGAAAAGAAGGCACAAGAAAAAAGAAGAAAATCAAAGGAAAAATGAAAAAAAGCTTTTGTACATAAGGGAGGGGGAATAGGGAAAAAAAACAAGAAGCAAGACATATCCTGTATGGATGCAAATTCCCCACAATGGATGTTATCATCCTGTATATCTAAATGTACTAAACATTTTGCAAAAAAAAATAATAAAACATGTACAATAAACAAAAAAATTATGCCTTTGTAGTGATTAAAACTAAATAGTGTCCATATCCATGTATACAGGGGTAACACATCGTACTAAATATGTAAGGTCACATCTACATGGGTTTGATTACAGAAACTAATAAAGTATTCTCTAAATAATGAAAAAAAGAATAAGATAAGACTATAAGAGCAAGAAGCAATTTAAATATGTTCGGGGACCATTTCCATCTCCAGAATTAAGGATTATTTTAATGTTTCATCATTGCCTTTTCTCTTTTACTTTCCTGTTTAGTTTTATTTTAGGATTCCATATTTTTAATGTTCATACAGAGATTTCTTTAACTGGAATACCGAATAGTTTCTTTGGTGCGAAAAACTATAATAGTACAGAGGATCCTAATGAGATAATTAATAATGCGAAATAGGAAGCAAAGGGCTAAAGGTGTAAGGAAAGTGGGAAGGGTGGGGGAAAGGTAATAAGGGAGAGGAAAAAAATATGAGAAACTGAAAAAATGGAAATAAAGTGTTTGTAAATGGGGAGGGGAGGAGGGGGTGAAGGGAGGGCAGGGACAAGGGGAAAAATGAGAACCGAGACCTATTATGTAAAGGTACAGGATCCCAATGATGAATGTAACTGTATTGTACACCTAGATTGTACCAATAAACTCAATTAAAAGAAAAAAAACTAAATAGTGTCATAAAGCAAGTGTTTAAAATGGTACTTACTCTGTTATGCACTAGAAAATTCATTGTATTGTTACTGTAACGTACTTCTTCTACCAGGGATCGAACTCAGGTCCTTGCCTTTGTGAGGCAGGCGGCAGCACCACTGAGCTAAGGCCCGGCCCTGAAATATACTTCTGTATGGTTTTCTTTTTATTTGTCCTGCTTTGATTTTGAAAGGAATTTTAGCGTCTTTCATCAGTTTTGGAAACTTCTTGACCACGATCTCTTGGTTCGTCCTCATCTGTCCTCCCTCTCCTTCCCATCCCCCTGTCTCCTTTCTGCCTCTCTTACTCTCCCTCTGAAATTTCAGGGACATGTGTGTTAGATCTTTCACCATATCCTTTATTTCTTTTATAATTTCTACTCTTTATCCTTTCTTCTCTGTTTGGGTTTTTTGTTTTGCTTTGTTTTGCTTTATTGAGACCGACCTGGAACTCACTCTGTAGCCCAGGCTGGTCTCAAACTCACAGCGATCCTCCTGCCTCAGCCTCCCGAGTGCTGGGATTACAGGTGTGCGCCACCACACCTGGCTATCCTTTCTTCTCTGTGTGTATTAATCTGGAAACTTTCAATGAATCTATCTTCTAATTGAAGAATTCTCTGCCATTAAATTTATTGAAGTCTTAATTCCAGTCATTGTGTTTTTCATTACTAGAAGTTCCATGTGACTTTATTTTATGATTTCTAGGTCTTCACCTCAGTTCTCCAACCTTTCCATTTTTTCTTTGAATATATTAATTGTATTTTTATTAATTGTATTTTTTATTAATTGTATTTTTTAAAATTCCTATCTGATCACTCTAATTTCAAAATCACCTGTGAGTCTATTTCTGTTGCTTACTGTTTCTCTTGGTCATTAGTCGGGAATACCAACATCCTTATCAAAAACCCTCTTTTATAAAAGAGGGCGAGGTGGGGATTTAGCTCAGTGGTTTCGCCACCTACCTCGCAAGCATGAAGACCGGAGTTTGACCCCCAGTACCAAAAAAAAAAAAAAATGTGCAATCAATTTGGGCCAGGGATTTGGCTCAGTGGCTCTGCTGCCTGCCTTGCAAGCACAAGGGCCCACATTCAATCCCTGGTACCACAAAACACACACACACACACACACACACACACACACACACACACACACACAAAAAAAAAACTCTAAACCCTATAAATTTCCGACTCCTCAGCACTGGAATGCCACTTAAACCTCTGCTCGGGTTTTTAGCTTTCCAGGAGTTATTTTCTACTGGATTTCCTGAGTAGTTGACCCAGATCTTCATGGCGTAGGAGTCAGCCAGCGATTTGAGAGGATTTTCAATGTACATTTGAGGGTATCTTTTCTGCTATTCCTTACTCTCCAAAACTTATCTTCTTCGTTTGCTTGTTTTTAGACAGGGTTTCACTATGTGGTTCAAGCTGGCCTTGAACTCAGTATCCCAGGCTGGTTTTGAACTTGCAACAATTCTCCTGCCTCAGCTTCTCAAGTGCTTGGATTACAGGCGTGCACCACCACACCCCGCTCTCTCCAAAACTTTGCTCTAAATAAATTTCTAGCCAATTCACCTGACCCAGTATCTAACAACTATCCTCTCGTCCCAGTAACACTGCTACTAGATTTTTTTCTCCACTTTCTATTTCTTTCTTTCTTGCGGGGGCGATGACCAAGGATTGAACTCAGGTCCTTGTGGTTGCCAGGTGGGCAGCAGACCCACTGAGCTAAATCCCTGGCCCTCTATTTCTTTCTAGTATTATCATTAATATTCTGCCACCTCAAGCGTGATTCTACTCTTTGAGAATTAAAGCAAAGAAAGAATTCAGATCACTCGATAAAATGTACATCTGAATACTTTGTGAGTTTGTTTAGCTTCATCCACTCAATCTCCCAAAATGAGTTCTCTCTCTACTTAAAAAAAATATAAGAACCTAATTTTTCACAGATATGGGACCCCTGGTTCTCTGGAGAACTGAGAGAGTAAGAAAGTGCCATTTGCTCATGTCTCTGCTGAGGTTTGCTGGGCATTCCCATCTAGCAGGGGAGCAGCCTGCTTACTCCAGCCAAACTTGGGACAAGGCTGTCGAGCCAACCAGAATTTTCCTGTAGACTTACAGAAGGCTGGGAGACTGGGTTAGCCGCCACTGACTGTCCCAATCATCTAACCCTTTGAATCTTACCTCCCCAGCCTCACCTTCTCTTAGCCGATCCCGCGTGCGCTTGCGGACATGGAGGCAGACTCTGACCACTCCAGCAATCTTGTTTTTCACTTCCTGCTCCTGACACTCAAACACATTCCTTGCCACTTCTATCTTACCTCCCCAGCCTCACCTTCTCTTAGCCGATCCCGCGTGCGCTTGCGGACATGGAGGCAAACTCTGACCACTCCAGCAATCTTGTTTCTCACTTCCTGCTCCTGACACTCAAACACATTCCTTGCCACTTCGCTGGGTGTGAAATCCATGGTTGCTTCTACTCTCAGCAATGGCTGGGATCTGCAGGGACACCAGAGGACCATCCCAACGCTTCAGGCAGTAAAGAAGCTCCTCCGGGGAGAACAGCTGATGTGCTCCTAAAGGAATTCTCACCTGAGCAGAAGTAAGTGTCCCTGGGCCCCCACAGCCAGGTCCATCAGTCCATCCATTGTGAGGTCCTGGCCCCCGCTCAGTGACTGCCCAAAATACTGGAGCCTGGGGGAGAGCTGGGAGCCTGTGATTCGCTGAGAGCAGTAAAGAAGAGGAGAGAAAAGGAGGAGGAAAGAAAAAGGAATTGTGTGACTAAGTCACACAGGGTGACCTGCGTAGAGGTTCTGCAGGCTCAATTCAATTTGCATTTCCCACAACTCTTCAAATGAAGTAAGTGTCCCTGGGCCCCCACAGCCAGGTCCATCAGTCCATCCATTGTGAGGTCCTGGCCCCCGCTCAGTGACTGCCCAAAATACTGGAGCCTGGGGGAGAGCTGGGAGCCTGTGATTCGCTGAGAGCAGTAAAGAAGAGGAGAGAAAAGGAGGAGGAAAGAAAAAGGAATTGTGTGACTAAGTCACACAGGGTGACCTGCGTAGAGGTTCTCCAGGCTCAATTCAATTTGCATTTCCCACAACTCTTCAAGGAGTTAAGGCAACTTAGAACTTACAAAAGGATGATTTATCTATAAACCACAACCTCAAGACAACACCCAAAATTTCCATTACCTAAGTTTCCAGAGAAAACTAAAAGTTTTACGGGAAAGTAAAGTGTACCCTATTTACATGATCATAATAATGGGGACACTAAATATTGATGTAACTAAACATATACAAATATGAAATGTGTGGGAGTGAGAAAACTAAAAGTTTTACGGGAAAGTAAAGTGTACCCTATTTACATGATCATAATAATGGGGGCACTAAATATTGATGTAACTAAACATATACAAATATGAAATGTGGGGGAGGGAGACAGAGTTTCTGTGGCAAGGGAGAGGCTGGAGGAGAGCATAGTCTTAACCTTCAATGGTGAGAAGTTAAAAGAAAACTCAAGATGTAGCAAAATTTTCTTAGTCTGTTCACCCACCAGTGATCCCACATCTTGATTCCTGTCAATAGTACTGCAGTTAACAGAGACATGCAAGTGTCCTGAAACAACAATTTCATTTCCTCTGGCTATGAGCCCAGGAGTGAGACTGCTGAATTGTAAGGCAGTCCTACAGTTTGCATTTTGAGGAACTCCCATACTATTTTCCACAGTGACCATACTGACTACATTCTCACCAGCAGTGAATGAGCTCTCCTTGTTCTGCATCCTCATCAACACCTGTCATTTATCTTTTTGATAATGGCTACTGTAACTGGGATAAGATGACATTCTTTGGGGCTTGGATTGGCATTCACTGGAAGATCGATGGTATTTAGCATTTTTTCATATACCTGTTGGCCACTAGTATGTATTTTGAGAGATAGCTCAATATTTTGAGAGATCATTTGTTTATTTTAACTGATAGACAGACAGACAGACACACACACACACACACACACGATTGACTATTACTCATGCAAAACAGAACGAAATCCTATCATTATCATTTGTAGCAATGTGGATGGAACTGGAAGACATCACATAAAGTAAATAAACCAGACAGCAATAAAAACACCACATGTTGTGATTCATTTGCAGAACAAAAAAAAAAATGGTGTCATAGAAGAAAAGAGTGCAATAGTAGTCACTAGAAACTGAGATAGAAGGAGGGAAGGAAGACACAGAAAGGCTAGATAGTGGGTACCAAAATTAAGCTATGTAAGAGGAATCAGTTCTGCTGTTCTTTAGCACAGTACAGTTAACAATAGTCTGCAACAATTAATGATAAATGTTTGAGGAGCTGGAAATGCTAATTTCCAATTTAATCATCACATGCTTTATATGCATATGCAGTTATCATAAATAATACAAGTATCATAAATATATTTACCTTATCAATATAGTACAAATGTTATATATCAATTAATTTTAAACAATTGTTAAAGAAACTGTGAGGATAATCATGTTATTTGGACATATAGAAAATAATTGAAAGAGCTGAAAGTGGTCCTCAAAAGAGGGGGACACAAAGCAGAATCCATAGTGTGGGAGGAAGCTGTTTTCCTGGATAAGCCTTTTAAACCAATTTTGACTTTTCAAATTATGTGCAAGAATAATGCTGAAAAAATAAGAGTGAGTAATAAATTTGTAAAAAAATGTTTTATGTGATTTTGCTGCAAATGTAATACCGGTTACTGCATACTTTAAAATGGCTAAGACAGTAAATTTTATGTCACGTGTACTTTAGCACACTTTTCTTTAGAAAAGTGGTTGTTGGAGTGGGGTGTGCAGCTCAGTGGTAGAACATGTGCTTACTACATGCAAGGCCCTGAGTTCAATCCCAGTACCACAAAAAGAGAAAAAAAGTTATGGATGTCAACTGAAAGGAATGTTGGAGAGACATGAGATGCTGGCAATGTTTGATATCTTAATCTAGGTGGTGGCCCAGCAGAGTGAAGAGGCATGGGAAAAGATGTTGCCAGCTACTCCTTAGACAAAGGAGTAGTATCTAGAATATATAAAGAACTTTTAAAAAATTAGAGCCCCAAATTTAAAGACCCAGTAAGAAAATGGGCATCAGATGAAGAAGTACAAATGGCAAATAAATACATGAAAAACTGGTCAGTATCACTGACTATGATGGCTGGGTCTCGATGTTCCCCCCAAAGCCTCGTGAGGTCATAGGTGGGGCTTTTCAGAGGTGGCTGGATCTAGGGCGTGGGATTACTAAATTAGTCCACTGATTGGTTTGGCGCAGTTCTGGATGTGGATAACTGGAAAGCCCACCGTGGGTATGAGTGGCACCACCCAAAAGGCAGGTAGCCTGGAAGAGACAAAGGGAGAGGCAGGCCACTGCTGCTGCTTTGCTACTTTACTACTTTACTGCACTGCTGCCTTCTGCCTGCCCTGCCTACGCCATGAACTGTTTCTCCTCTCAGTGACCCTGCCTTGGAGCCAGCCAACAATGGGCTGAAACCTCTACAAACTGTGAACCAAATAAAGCTTTCCTACTTTAACTCTGGGTGTCAGCAGCAAGACGACATTGTCTTTTGTCTCAGCAACAAGAAGACATTGACCATTTGAGAAATGCAAATTAAAACAACACTGAGATTCCATCTCACACTAGAAAGAACAGCTATCTTCCAGAAATCAATCACAAATGCTGGGCAGGCTGGGGGGTGTTCTTCCCTGTTGGTGGGAGTGTAAACTGGTACAACCATTATGGAAATAAGTATGGAGATTCCTCAAAAAGCTTAAAATAGACGTTCCATTTGACCAAGCTATTCCCCTTCTAGAGTTAAAGGCATCATATTACGGTGACCGACGCATACTCGTGTTTACAGCAGCGCAATCACAACAGTTAAATCTTAGAAACAGCCAAGATGTCCAGCAACAGATGAATGGATAAAGAAAATGTGGTGTTTATACACAACAAAGTACTGCTCTGCCATAAAGCAGGACAAACTGGAGTCATCTGTAGTAAAGGGTGAACCTTAAGACCATAATGTTAAGTGAACTGGAGCAGATACACAAGCTTGAACATCGCCTGGCTTCTCTTATACGAGAAACCCAATATATAAATAAAGTGCAAAATAAAAGACAAGGGGAAAAAAGAGGGAAAAGTTATTGTAATTCAGCATGGCCAATGTATCTAAAAATATACCTCAATTTAGTATAGTTGTTTTATGTGTTTTATATGTTTATTGGCCTTAGTCTGGCTGTTAATCTGCATTTATGATAATTAACTTGATAAAGACTTATAAAATAAATAAAGGTATATTACTCTGTTAGGAGGGAGTTTGGCTTGGTTTGGTTTGGTTTTTTGAGACAGGGTCTCACTATGTAGTCCAAGCTGAACTTGCACTCACTATGTTGCCCAGATTGGCCTGGAACTCACAGAATCCCTCTTGCCTCAGCCTCCCGAGTGCCAGGATTACAGGCACACACCACCACACCCCGGGAATTTTGTTTTGAAATTATGTAGAAAGTGGTTTATGATCCTCCTGCCTCAGCCTCCCAGAGTGCTGGGATTACAGGCATGTGCCATATGTGCTCAGCTATAATGTAGAGGTTTGGAGAACCACAGAAAGTCTGCTTATCTGAATATTTAGACTTCCAGTTTTACCCATAGGAAAAAAGGAAGTGAAACTAGGCAGCAGAATCACAGGATGCTATGACCCACTTTGTATTTGTCTCTTATGCTAAAGTCTGTGTGCACATGAAATACCCTCCCCTCGGCCCTTCTTGCTTTGGAGATGGGGTCTGATGGGATGGAAGGAGGAAACTAGGGCTTTCTCTGCTCATTCCACTCTTGTAAATTTGCACATAAAGCAGGCAACTCTCTTGTAATAAAAAGTAATTAAAAACCAAAGTCTTCACACCCTGTTTACACAGAGAAGCAGCATACACCAACAGAAAGAAGCACTGCTCCAGCTTTTAGACAGCTGAGAAAAGAGACTTGCCCATGCAGAGAGAGGCTAGCAAGGCAAATGCCCTCAGCCCTGGCTGCACCCAAAGCCCTTGCGATCATACTGGGAGCTACACAGCCTATTGTTCCATTGACAAGAGGTTCTAGAATGGACAAAACTAACCTGTGGCAGAAAAAAAATAATGGGATAGAGCTGGGCTGGAGACTGAGTGGGAAGAGGCAGAGGAGGACTTTCTGGGTTGGTGATGGTGCTCTGTATCTTGATAGGAGTGTGGGTTACACCTGTCAAGACTCACGGCATGAAGATTTGTGTTTTCTATAAATTCTATTTTTAAATAACTACTTAACACATATTTAATTCTACTTAATAATACACGTACTGAAGTGTTTAGGGTTGAATTTGAAATGCATCAAAAAATTAAGAAAAATGCTGGGGATTTAGCTCAGTGGAACTGCACCTGCCTCACAAGTGAAAGGTCCTGAGTTTGAATCTCAGTATCAGAAAAAAAAAAACTTAAGAGGAGTACATGAGTGATTACATGCCTGTAATCCCAGCACTCTGGGAGGTGGAGGCAGGAAGATCATAAGTTCAAGCCCAACCCTTGTTCAAATTAGCAAGACCATATCTCAAAATAAAGGGCAAAAAGGGTCTGGGATGTAGTTCAATGAGAAGGCCCTCAGTTCAAACCCCAGTGGGGATTGGGGGGACACTTCTCACTGGCCCTGGCCCTCAGAAAT